GATGTCTTTTTCATGCATTTACCAAAACAATTTGAATCAGAAAGCAGTTGTAATCTAAACCTGGTTTCCCCTTACAAAGACCGAAAGCTTTGTGACAACTGATATTGGACTTTATATTGCTGTTAAAAACACAAAAGAAGACATGATGGACAGGTTATTTGAGTCTGTTTTATATAGGCTACAAAAAAAGATAGATAAATAAGTACAACTGTGAAATTCTCCCAACTCCTGGGGAAAATGGAGGACTTCAGTTCAGTTAGATCCATTGCAATCAATGGAGATTCATTTTGCAAAATGCAAAAGATTTACTGTACAGAGTAAGTCAGATCTACATTATAGTTACATGGTTGAGGAACAAAATAAGGCAGTTGATATCGAGCCATGCATGCATTTTAAGAGAGCAAACTGAGTCTTAAATACGTTTATTTTAAATATTTCAAGGTTTGCGGCCTTCACAAGCTCATATCAAGATTCGTTTTGAGTTGCACTTCCATCTCAAACTCTCTCTTAATGTACATCACTCATGCGCAATGATATGTTCAGGTCAGGATGTAACGAGCGGTTTGTAGGCCTTCATTAGGGGTCAGCGGTAAGGTATATTATCATTAACTAAAACTACTAAAAAACATGTTTTGTTAATCAAAAAAGCGGAAATAAAATATAAATATTAGCTTAAAACGTTTTTTTTTTTTTTTTTTTAAATACTGAAGTTGAAGCATTCAAATTACTACCTGGATATAAATAAAAAAATCAAACTGAAATTTTTAAATAAACAAAATTTAACCTAAATAGTCAAATTTAAAAAGAACTGAAAACTAATAAAAATGACAAAAGCGCATAACAAAATGACAACAAAAAAAATAAACTAATTAAAATGAAAACTAAAAATGTATAATAAAAGATAATTAATAATTTGAATAAAAACTATAATAGTATATTGTATATACGGTATACAGCATGCTTATTATGTTCCAAAAACCAGTATGACCACCTTAAAACGGCACGACTAGCTGGTAACTGGTTTATTGCTGATCCAAGATGGTTTTGGACCAGCTAATGACCAAGTTAGATGAGCTAGAAACCAGTCACCAGTTTTTACATGATATATACCGCTACATAAACATGATTTTTCATTTTGTTCGTATACCGCCCACCCCTTCATTACATTTCAAACACATTTAATCATGTCGTTTGTTCCAACCAAGTACACCAACACTGCCAGATGTGATACATGAACATATTTGTATATAAAAATAGACCTATAAGAGATACAAGTGGCTCTCGTATGGCTTTACCATAGTAGCATGCAAAAAACTATCAGAAGTTTGAACTACCTGAGGTTGTATATAATAAGCAAGAGCCGAAATCTTCAGTCATTTCACGCTTTCCCTTTGCAATATGCAAAAAGAATCCGAAATTGTTCTGCTTGACTGTACCGCACTATTTACATTGACGCTTGAGTTACATACAGGTAGAGTATAGGTAGAGAGTGTGCTGTGTGTGTGTGTTTTTGTGCATTTGTGTGTTGTGAATGCACACATGAGACAGCTAATGTAAGCTGCGGGGAGCAGAAGAGATGTTATAGATCACCCGGAGAGAGCTAGTTCTGTCCTGATGCGTTATCAAACCTGAGGGTCTGTCTTTCCCTCTCTCCTCCTGTCTTTCTCCCTCCTCAACTCTCCTATGTCAGGATTTTACTCCACACTAGCATATGTTTCTGCCTGCTACACACACAAATGCTGCACGACAGCTCATTTATGCAATTCATCAACCAGGTCTTTTATATTCCTTTAATGTGCTTGTTTTATTAAAGAAGTTATCATTTGGGGAACGGAGAAGTTCGCACTGGCAGATTTGCAGTAAGAAAGCAACCGGAAGTCATTCATTTTCAGTGAGAGTTGCTGATTTGAGACAACATGAGCGACTTTGTTGTAAAGCAACAGAAGTTACTTTGAGTTCAGCTATACATGCAAAAGAGCAGTGATGCATTGTGGCATTTACAAGTGCAGAATCATGTTTTAAAATTGCACATTATGAGGGTAAATGAGTATATGAGCTTATATTGAGTGTGTTTAGGGATGCCACAATTCTCAATATAATATTGAACCGTTCGGTACGACATCCACGGTTCAATACGCGCTTGTGAATTGCGTGTTTTTCGGTTTTACGTTTAAATAATTTATGTGCGTTTTATTTCTCTCCGAATTGACTGTTTGTGTGTGCCTGTAAGTCTACGAGCTGAGATGAGGAAACTCCTCCCCGCGAGTAAATATTCAATCACTATGGTCTAAAGTTAGGGGGCGCGCGTCTCTTAACCATCATTCCACACTTTAACATGGCAAGCGGCGAAGTGAGTCTACAGTACGAGGCGTTTTTCAAATCCGTGGTGTGTGTGGGGACATTTCGGTTTTGCCGTTGAGTATAATGCCGAGGAAGAAAAAACGGTAAACAAAAAAATTACTGTGTGCAAGCATTGTTTTACACGTGTAGCCTACTCAAACGGAAACACTTGTACCGGAGTACTGTTAAGTTTAATTAAGATGGTTTATTCATGTTTACTGAAGTGCAAGTATGTTTATTTGAAATGGTCAATTTATATTTACCAACTTCACAAGTATGTTTATTTTCAAATTTTAGGAATTTATGTGTTCCCTAGTTTGTACATGGGCTACCAGCAGCTGTGAAATGTCATTGTTCATTTTATATTATACAATACACTAGGAACTAGTGGACTTTTCTTAGCTTTTAAGTAAAATAAAGGAGTATTGCAATAAATCTTTTTATTTTTTCTCCTTAACCTCTTACTGTTCCTATCGGCTAAGCATAGAATAACAAAAAAACACACTTATGTGTCAAGCCATCAGAACCGAACCAAACCGAAAACCGTGGTTAAAAAAACGAGGTATGTATTGAACCGTGGGCTAACTGTATTGTTGCATCCCTATTACATGCACAACAAAATATTGAAAATTATCAAAAATCTGCTTATTAAAAAAAACTGTTTTAGGGGTTTGTGCAAATCATGAAACTGCCAACACTCACTTTAAATGAGATTTTGAAACGATCAGGATTCAGCGTTACACAGTCACGTCCACACTGAATAAGCTGACAGAACGTCGATCAAGCCATTTAAATGCAAAGCCAAATCGTAATAACTATGTTAATGAGTGCATTTACGTGCGGGATCTAAGGTCATGTCGTAAACAGCTCGACATGTTCTTTTAACTGGGAAGGTTGCAAAAGGTTAAAAAGCAAAATTCCACTTTACATGTAAACACACACACCAGAATTGTGTTGCTTTACTCAGTTTGTGCATGTCTTGTTTACATTTTCAAAATCTCATGTGCATTTCACGCAAATCTCATTAAGCTCATGTTGTCTGCGTTTTAAGCACAATCAGTGTAGGATTGTGCATGTAAACACATTCATTGTGTCGAACGATATAGCATGCACAAAGCTGGTTTTCTTTCTAAACGGTTATTCAACAACTAAGACTGTTCTATAAGAAGCTTTCTCTGTTGAAAACCAGGCATCCTCCCACACTATATTGTAGCAAATATGATCTAAGCGGACTGTTCCTAACTCTACCGACGCTGTTATAAGACGATAGCGGACACTAACGTTCGGTCTGGCAGATCCGCTGGAAGTCTGATAGATGGCTCATATTCTCTCTCAGGGCTTCTTCACTTTATTCTCCTTCACTCTGTCTCACTCCATCTCTTCAGCTCCTCCTCTCTCCTCTTTGGGGAACAACAGAGTTTGGCTTTGAAGTTCTCCTTGGTGCATCTCATCCTGTCACTATACGAGGGTGTAAAACCCTCAGCTGAATGTTTCAAACAGTGGCACTTCTTTTCCATGAGATCCCTATTGACAGGAACACCGATTTGAAGGGGTACAGTAAATGCACTCGCTTATACAGTACAAACCTCCCAACCCCTAATCTGCATACTGTAAAGTCATCATTCGCAACTATAGAAGCTTTTGCTCTACATTTCTCTTTGACTAATGCTGCATACTAGCTCACATAATATCCATCATCAGTTCTTGGTGCATGAACAAACTGTACATAACAAGTGAGCCTGTGTTATTTTGAGATTTTGTAGTATGTCCAAAATACAAGTACACACTCAAAAGTAAGGACTTTTCATTGAGGAGTGAGGTACATACATTTAATGCACAGCGAACTGGTAAAAACTCAAACGTTTGCGACATGGAGATGATGCATAGTTGTAAATCGAGTGTGCTATCCGAATGGAGTAAAAAGGATGCTACTTCTACGTATTTGAGATTTGAAAAGCTCTAATCATGTGAATAGCCATTGGTAGAATAGTCAAGTCTAACTTCAGAGCGTTTGTTTAGGTTTAGTTACTGTAGTACAGCAGTACTGTCTACAAATTCTAGAAAACATGATAATCAGGGTTTGTTACGGTTGATTACTAGAATATGTAAAGTCACTTATGGTGCGAGCAAGTCCTCCAGGGAAGTTCGTATTTACGAGTTGGGAAGTTGTAATTACTTTGGTCGGATCGAGATGGCCTTTTCTGCATGGAATTCAACAATTTTCAGTTTTTTAACATTTACAAAATGAATAAAGAATGCTTTTTCTGTTTTGAATCAATTTATGAAGGTGCAGTAAACTGATTTATTATATATGCTATAGTAATTGCACAATACTATCAGTATTATATAGTATATGATATTTTACTTGTACATGCAACTTAGTTTTATTGTTAAAGAAATACCACTTAATGCAGACGCTGCATCCGACATGTTTTCTCACTCAGTGTCTCTAATCGTAATTGCGAATTTGTGGTGCCGTTCATGCGCATTTAACTCGTAAATACAATCTTTCTAACGTGATTTGAACGCACCATTACTTCCTAGCATATGCTGCAGTCCGAAAACCCTAAAGGATATCCTACACAGTTCATGCATGTCATGCTGTTCTACACAAGCTCAAGACAGAGTCTGGAAATTTAAACTAAATCAATCGCAAATCCAAGCCGCTTTACTTCCAGAGAGAGTTGGAGAGGTTTTACTGCTAAAGATAATCGTTTTTTTTGAGATGCTTACCCTGTTTAGGCAAAGGTTAGCTCTACCTAGAGTCACTGGTTTCTGCTAATCGGTTGTTCATAATGCCGAGAGCACCGACGCCCCCGGAAAAGCCGTTTTGCCTCGAGCTTCCGCAGACCGTTCTGGGATATCCGTTTGCTGACTCCGAAAGCTGTTTCTGCATAATAGCCAGTGAGATTTTATTGGATCCCGTCAGGTCCCGCATGGAGATCATCTCACCCGAAAGCCTACGGCCCTCCGTGTCGCTGTCGCAAGGCCCGTCCGAGTCCGGCGCTTGCCCGAATCGTCCCTTTCGGAGGCGTGAGCCGGGCCTGATGGCGTTGCGGCGTCCCAAGAAAGCGTTTGCTTTGTTGCAGCGTTGGCAACACAAGCAACTCATTTTCCCCAACATCCAGTTGAGGACCTGCTTGATAACGATCGAGATGACATTGAAGAGAGAGTAGATGCAACATACTCCAGCCAAGATGAAGAGACAGTTAGCCAACCGGTAGAGGCTTTGGTAGCCGTACACAGCACTCTGACTGCTCACCAAATCCCCGAACCCAATCGTGCTGAAGGTGACGAAGCAAAAATAGAGCGAGTCCAAGTACGCCCAGCCCTCTACTGGAGTGTACATGGCCGACGCGCAGCAGGAGATCACGATGGCCGACAAACCCAGAATGAGCATCACGTGGTACACCGAGGGCTTCCAGCCTGGCAACGTACTTGCGGCGAAGTCCGTGCAGATCCCCGGCGGGAGGAGACCACTGGTCCTCAGACGACGAAGACGAACGGCCTTCATCACCACAGCCAGCAGGGTAATGATGCGCTCCAGAAACAGGTTGAAGAACAGGATGGTGGCCGCGCAACCTAACAGACCGTAGAAGATCAAGAAGATCTTTCCAGCTACTGTCACAGGGGTGGTCATCCCGAATCCTGCGGAGAGAAAGACCACAACAGCTCATTACAATGAGCACTGCTACAGAAGTATATACACTCTTATATAAAACAGGGGGTAACACTTTACAATAAGGTGCATTAGTTAACTAGATTAGTTAGCATGAACTAATAATGAATAATGAGCATTTATTAAAATCTTGTTAACATTAGTTAATGCACTGTGAACTAACATGAACTAACAATGAACAGCTGTGTATTTATTTAAATCCAGTTACAAATGTATTGCTCATGGTTAGTTCATGTTAGTTAATACATTGACTAATGTTAACTAATGAACCTTATTGTAAAGTGTTACCAAAAAAAGCTGTCCCTGGGGCGCTACTCTTTAAAAAAAAAGCTCCTAATATGTACCATTTTAGGTCTAATATGCAACCTTCAGGGGGAAAATAAGGTACAGAGGTGGTCACTTATTATTCAAAAGTACAGTCAGATCAATATTATTGATTTGACCGCACTGACACTATTGGATTAGAGATGAACTGAGCTGGACGATGACATCATTGTTTTCTGCAGATCTGCTTTATAGATGAAATGAACTAGTTTAATAATGGATGATCTTTAAGCCAGAACTGAATCAACACTGAACTGAGTTCAGCTGAATAATGACACTATTTTCTTTTAGAGCTGCCGTACAGCCGAAATGAACTCTGTTTGCATCATTAAATCATTTCCCTGTTATCCCTGTAAATATGCTTTGAAACAATCTGTACTGTATAAAGCGATATAGAAATAAAGGTCACTTGACTTGACTTTTTAAAAAGATCACTGCCAAGGGAGGCCTTTGTGCATTCTGCGATTGTAAGGGTAAATCTGTCAAGAACATGTCGGTGTAAAGTAAATATATTTTATATAAAGAACATGACGCCTGTTTATATAAGACAATTGAGATTTATTAGCATTTTGACATTTTCATAACTATTAAACTCCCCAAATTCTCATTACTTTGAAGCATAAAATGGTACATTATTAAAATGTTATGATCACACTTTATATTAGGGTCCAATTCTCACTCTTAACTAACTATTACACCTTTTGCCTCAATAAACTCCTAATTACTGCTTATTGGTTAGTAAGTAGTTATTAAGTTTAGGTATTGAGCTATTAAGGGATGTATAATATGATCATGCAAAATAAGGCATTAATATGTGCTTAAACAGCCTAATATGCATGCTTAGAAGCAATTAGTTAATAGTGAAAATTGAACCCTAAACTACCAATTTTACAAAACACGGTAGTTGCATGCCTTTAATTTATGCTGATAAAAAAAAAAAAAAACAGTTTTACACTAGGTTTTACTAATGAAATGTAAGAAATGTGGCATTTTTGTGAGATTCTCCCGTATGCCGAACAGTATTATGTTAATATTTATAAATATAAGGTTATGAGTTAGCTAAATGCTCTCAGAAGAAGTCTTCAGAGATGTTTTTGCAGAATGTGATGGTTTTCACTGTCCAGATGAAGGTTGCAAAATCATTCACTATAACTTGACTTGACTGCGAATGCTGGGAATTATTTTTAGCTGATATCCCCAAAATTTGATTATTCCATTAAAGACTGACCTTCAGCAATGCTGCCACATACGTACATCCAAGTGATTAAACTAGCTCATCTTTGACAGGGAGCTGGAATTGATTTAGAGGGCTATATATTACAGTTTTTCTCGATTGCTTAAACACATTTCTTGAAACTATGCCTCCTATTCTCAAAACAGTAAACACAAATCCATAACGTCTCACCCAATTCCCCAAACATCCTATTTTCAGGTCAAAATGAAGCTCTACACTCAAAACCATTCACTCTGGCTGAAAAACCTAACTTTGCCCTCAGACAGGACACACAAGCCCTCAAAAATACACACACTACAACATAGTCTTACACACTGGTGCTATAAATTCAAAACAACATTTCCAAAACTGGTAAGTCATGTTGCTTGTGGTCCATCCATCTTTTTTTTTTACTCGCTCCCACTCTTACGTAAGATGTGTGTGAGCATCATATGACAGTAAAAGAGCACACACAAACCTTATTCAAATATGGAATTGTATTGGAATGGTAAAGAGTGTGGGTACATGCCTCCACTCAAGGATACAATATGATGAACAAGTCTAAGAATGTTCCACATATGGTTGATAACATTCTGGGAGGTAAGACTATAAAGGAGAAAGGATGCCCTCCCTTCACTGTCACACACACTCTGTGTGACTGTACGACTGCTGGCCTTTTCTTGCAAGAACATGAACCTCATCAAAGACAATTGGAAATGTTTGTCTCTTATTCAGTGATAGAAATGTGTTTGCCACCACTCCTCCCTGAAGGTTCTGATGATGGAGGCAACGGTGAAGCGACTCAAATTTGTCTGTACTCGTTGCCCAGCCTCCCTCATAGTCACACCATGGAGAAGGACATGGCCAACTAAAGTGGCTTGAATTTCATCCGAGACTGCTTGTCTTCTTGTCCTTGCCCTTCCTCCTCCTCCTCTTCCTCCGCCTTTTCCTCATCCTCTTCCTCCTCCTATTCCTCTTCCTCATCCTCCTCTTCCTCCTCTTCCTCCTCCTATTCCTCTTCCTCCTCCTCCTCCCTCCTCCTCCTGTTCTTCCTCCTCCTCCTCTTCATCTTCCTCCTCCTCCACCTCTTCCTCTCCCTCCTCCTCTTGCTCTTCCTCCTCCTCCTCCTCTCCCTCCTCCTCTTCCTCCTCCTATTCCTCTTCCTCCTCTTCCTCATCCTCCTCCTCTCCCTCCTCCTCCTGCTCTTCCTCCTCCTCCTCCTCCTCTCCCTCCTCCTCCTCCTCCTATTCCTCCTCATCCTCTTCCTCCTCCTCCTCTTCCTCCTCCTCCTCCTCTTCCTCTTCCTCTTCCTCTTCCTCCTCCTCTTCCTCTTCCTCCTCTTCCTCTCCCTCCTCGACATATTGCTTAATTTCTCTGTGGATCCATTGTTCCAAAACTCAGTAAACTGATTTTTATCTTTTATAAAAGATTGTATAACCTTTTATCTATCTATTAAAGGATCTGACTGATGTGTGTTCAATTTTGACTCTTAGTGTTTTCACCTGGGTAATTGTGTGCTAACTGAGCTGAAGCTGTGCTGACTTGAGTGAACAATATTGAATGCTAGTGCTTTTTAAATGACCACGTGGTGTAGGCAATGAGAAATGAAGGGATTTGTGTGTAGAGTTTTGCTGTGACAGTTCAACAAATCTGACTAATGTGTCAAAACATGGGAATAGTGTTCATAGTTCAGTGAAATGGGTGTGCTTTTTGATAAATGGCATTATAGTTTTGAAATTTTAGTTCAAAAGCCTGGTTATAGTGTTTAAGCAATCGAGAAAAACTGTAAAGAGGATGTTTTCTGGAGGATTGCATCTGGAACACATCAGCGTATAGAGTCTCCTGAATAATTAAAAAAATCCCTGGGAGAAAAAGATAAAGCCCTTTTTTAAGCAACACTTCAACTGATTAAAGTGAGAGAAAGTGAAAGAGATGAATGAACTCTGCTGAAAAAGAATAGCATTAAGATTTCAGGTAAGCTTATGTTGAATGCAAACACTTCTAGTTATATAATCTTGATTTCATGTGTTGTTTCATACACAATGCATTGCATAGAGTAACATTCTGTGAAATTCTGTTAGTTCCTATACCACCCGATGTACTCGTTACATCATAAGAAGAATGGCATCACGCTATCTTTCTGTTTATTCCGAGGCTTACTGTAATCAGCCGGATCCGGGCCGGATCCAGATCAGACGCGGGACCTGCGCCTGGACACGACCACAACGCATCCCTGAAGTGTTAGCAGAGCTTGTGTCAACTAGACTCTCCCTGTGAAGGCCTCATCGACACGACAGTCATCGGCACTGATCCTCTACAAACCCGTCTCCACCGGTGTGACTCAGATCTTCAACCAGAAGAAACTGGATGATATTCTGATCCAATCTGACTTCTGACCTGTAATGCTCCCTGAATCATAATCACACACTGTTCGTTCGCTGGCCAGAGGAGAACTGAGCGACTGAGTCCGGTTTCTCCCAAGCTTTATTTCTCCATTCTGTCACTGATGGAGTTTTGGTTCATTGACACTGTCGCCTTTGTCTCCATTGGCTTTTGGCTTGCTTAGTTGGGGACATTTAACTTAATATTCAACAATATTATTGATCTGCCTGCATTGACAGCATTATATGAGAACTGAACTGAGCTGGACGATGACATCACGGTTTTCTCCAGAGCGACTGTATATATAAATGAACTAAATTAATAACTTTTTTACAACAAAAATGAAACATCACTGAGCTTACTTAAGCTGGACTGTGACGCTATTTTCTTCTTGAAACAAACTTTGTTGCATTATTTTCCTGTTTTCTCTGTAAAGCTGCTTTGAAACAATCTGTATTGTTAAAAGCGCTATATAAATAAAGGTGACTTGACTTGTTAATGCAAGTCAGTGGGAGATTTTCCAACTATCAAGCACAACAAAAGGTATATATATATATATATATATATATATCGGCCATAATAAGGTTTTTCCCCTTAAAGATATTACACCTGTTTGCCAAGGAGATGAAATATGAGAAATAAAAGGTAAATGGTAAAAACTTTATGCCTAAACCACAAAAATTACGAATATCACTTGTGAACAGACTATAGGGCAGGCTATATTATTCTGTGTAATTTCCAATCAAGCTTAACATTTTCTCAAATTATTCAAAAAGTGTAAAAATATTACTTAATGATGTGTAGGTCTGTTTGGGATCAATAAAATGCTAGCTATCAAATCAGCCCAGTGTTAGTTTAATATCATTGAGATACTATTATAGTTTTTATTAAAGCTCCTGTAGGTAACTTTTGAAAACATGTATTTGCTAAAACTATTCTAATGTCTATAAGTAACTTTGCAAGTACATGTCGACTTATTCCTACCCTAACCCTACCAGTCTACTAATACTCTATAACACCCTAATGAGAGTTAGTGGACATGTAGGTGCA